GGTGTAATATAGATCAAAATTATTTATTCGGAATATATTTCATCAATGGTGTAATCTAAACCTTAATAATTCTAGTGATATAAAACAACAATTTGAATGTTAAAAGTAATAATGATCATGTCAACGCTAGAAAAGAGAGCTATATTAAATAAGTGAGTAAACAAACAATCAAAATGACAATAACGACGATAATGATAATAACGACAGTAACAAGGATACGATGCGTAATCAATTTGTTTGCGAAAATAACGATGTCTAATAATTTCATTAAAATCTTAATCTTCTTTGTGTATGATCAAGTCAAATAATTGTATATCATCTACAAAAAAAAATGTTTTCTTAAACACAACACAACACAAACACCAACTTCAGTTAATGTTTCTGCAACCCGAAGTTACCTCGTTTCCTCCCATTCACTGTCCTTGCGGCGGATTGCAAATTCAGCGACCTCCAGATTTTGATTTCTCTGCAACCAGAATAATTTGCGGGGAATTTCTCACATTTTCAAAAGTATCTTTAGATCAATCACGATTCTTTGCCTTAAATCGAAATTATGTATTGAACAGTGGCATTCATGTGTCAATCTGGATTTTAAAAACAATGAAGATTAAGTGGCATTTAACGTCCATATAGTTGCACAAGTCTGGATAATATAAAAATAAAAAGTTTACCCTATTACGGGTCGATGAGGTACATAGAAAATGGAAATGTTTCATGTAAGAAGATGGGCTATGACCAAGGGCTAACAATAACAATACTCTTTTTTTTATCCATCTCTCTCTCTCTCAATCCCATAGACGTTACTGTTTATTGGCACATACATGAATAAATGCATATATGCAATTATATATGTATATGCATAGACACACACACAAACACATACATACATACAAACATGCATACAAATGTTTGTGTGTGTGTGTATATATACACAAAGAACAGGGCCGGGCCATCAGAACCACATATTTTTTTTAGGTGGGAAACGCTTTTTGAAAACGCCGATTTCCCTTAAACTTTTGTTAATATAAACTGCATGTTACTCGACCTTACAATCAAGAACTTGCAATTAAGAATATGTTATAAAATATCGGTAGTTTTGCAGAAGATTGATTATATTTTTTGAACCACTTCCTTATTTCTATTTTATCGATAAAAGCAAAATCTTGTTAACGTTAACTGCTGTTTTCGTATAAATACACCTTATAAATTTGCTGTTAGTTGTTCTTGGGCTCAAATAAGCGACTACTGTAAATTTTTACGGGCCCCGTGGTCGTTGCCCCGGCTACCCCCCCTGTCGGCGGTCCTGTACACACACACACACACACACACACCACACACACACACACACACACACACACACACACACACACACACACACACACACACACACACACACACACACACACACACACATATGTATATATATATATATATATATATATATATATATATATATATAATATATATATATATATATAATGAATGATGTATATATGTATATATATATATATATATATATATATTATATTATATATATATATATATAGATAGATAGATATGTATATATATACATATACATATACATACATATACACACATACATACATACATACATATATATATATATATATATATATATATATATATATATATATATATATATATATATATATATATATATATATATATATATATATATATATATATATATATATATATATATATATATATATATATATATACCATATATATGCTTATACCCATGCCCATATACAACAGAGACAATTAAGCACCGACTCGAGCGCGAATTCCCAGCAGCGAACGGGCGGGCGCGGCCGAGGGCGCCGTCGCAGCCTCACAAAGGGCCGAGCGAACGAGCCTCGGCGCTGCGTAAACAAGGGGAGAAAAGAGGCCGGGATGCGAGGACATTAGGAGGGAAAACGCATGTCAGGGATAGCTTCAGATGTTGATGTCGACAGGGTTTTTTTTTTTTTTTTTTTTTTTGCTCGTGTTAGTTAAGCTGTCTGACGTGGATTGTCACTGTTTTGTTTATTTTATTCTATATTTTCCCTTGTATTCCTTTAACCCATATTGGATTTTATGTCTGAGGTGTGTTACTACGAATTTTATACGATCCCATTTCTACTTTCTGTCATTACACATCATCACCATTAAAGCGTCCTTTCATAATCCCTGCTTTGGTGTCGTTTCAGAATCGTGGGCCGCAGAGCGCGCAGTGTGCCGCCCTCCTGAGCCCCTAGACTGGGGGTTGGCGCCCCCCCACTGCATCACCCCCGCCACGCTCCACAACCTCCTGACGGATGGCTTCTACGCGCCCTACGCCGCCAACCCGCGCTATCTCCTAGTGGCGGACTGCCGCGCCCCCCGCGCCTTCACGCGGCGGCGTCTGGCGACGGCGCGCTGGCACGGTGCGCTGCACACGGCGCCGCCCCCGAACCTCGTCAACACCATCGTCTTGTACGACGACCGGCCGCGCTCGGGGCCCCCCGCGCCCGGCGACACGGACCCCCTCGCCACCATCTACCACGACCTGCGCCGTCAGAAGCTCGACCCGCTGGTTCTGCTCGGCGGCTGGTCGGTGCTGGAGGCCACGTGCCCGCACCTCCTGGAGGGCGGAGACGACCCCCCCACCCCTGACCCCATGCCCTGGTACCCGGCGCAGATCCTGCCTGGCCTGCTGTACCTGGGCCACGCGGAGATGGCCACCGACCCGAGGGTGCTCTCGTCGCTGCGGGTGACGCACGTGGTGGACGTGACGGAGAGCCTGCCCCCGCGGGTGCTGCCCTCCATGAACTACCTGGTGGTCCCGGTGCCCGAGGAGGAGGAGGAGCCCGAGCAGAGGACGCCCTCGTCCAACGGCAAGGACAAGGGAACCAACCACAACAACAATAACAACAACAACAAGCGGAGTAGCAGCAACAACGGCACCGACCTCATCACGTCCCTTCCGACCATCCTGGCCTTCGTCGGCGAGGCGCGCACGTACGGCGGCTGCGTGCTCGTCCACTGCGACCAGGGCCTGACCCGCGCCGCCGCCGTCGTCATGGGCATCCTCATGTCGGAGCGGCGCTGCACCCTCGAGGACGCCTTCTACTACGTGAAGGGCGCGCGGTCGGCCGTCCACCCGCATCCGGGCCTCCTGCACCAGCTCGCCAAGCACGAGACCGTCCTGTTCGGCGCGTCTCTCACGCAGGTGGAGGAGCTCTTCTGACCTGCGCCCTCCCGCACCCGCAGAGCCCTCGGGCGACGGCCGACACATCACAAACAGACCAGAGGCCTCCGACGGACAAATTTTCATGACGAATATTCAATGTATGTACGCGAGCACTTACTGACCTACCTGAGAGTCATAGCTCACTCAGATTACCTCCGATGAGTAGTCAGATGCACTCATTCGGTCAGTTAACTCCTGCATAGCCTTCATGAACTTCCCTATGTTCGCGCCTCGGTCTTGCATGACAGCTCGGATACGACGGACGACGTTTGCGTTTCCTCTGACAAAACACAAAGAGGTGCGGCAAAGGCAGGAAAGTAAAAGTTAACTAGTGATGCGGTGTCAGAATGGTAGCGAGCATAATACATTGATGATACCTTTGTGAGTGTCTCTGATGATACATGAGCGAATAATATTGAGAGAAGCACCAACAGCTTTCGTGGGGAAGAATATTTATTAGGGTCGAATTCATTAGGGTGCAAGACGATGATGTCGGCAGCGTATAGATAGAACAGTCATGACTAAATGGTCTGAAGGATAGTGCGTTGACTGTGAGACTGGGAACATCGAGCATTTTCAGTGTCACAGATGGTTCGGCTGTATAATATTGCCTCCTTGTAACCCGATTCCATCTCTCAGGCGCTGATATCAATGTTGATATACGCGCAATACCAGCCTTTCGTTTTGCAGAAATTCTTCTAAAAATACTAGACCATCTATCACACGATTAGGGCATACTGGCATAGTTTAATGACTACTGATGCATATAGTGTTACTAGCAAATACAGAGGATTTAGGGATAGCAGAGGTGAGGAAGGAGAGGAGATATATCAATGAAGGTTGATATCATATATTAATAATCCATATATTGAATATATCCTAATAATATATAGCTCAACACATCAGTAGTTATACTTTCGACCACAGTAGTTACTTTTTAAGAGAGAATTCATAGTATAGCGTAGTTACCAAGGACTATCTCCCTTAAGGGTTGACATAGTGCCATATTTAATCATATATTAATATAGATCGGATCATTCAGCCCCTTATTACAATCAATATGCTGTCACATTCTCAATAGCTGATTATTACTTTGTTATTCCTCCATAGAATTCTTCTCGACTATTTCAATATAACGCATCATTTGTGCAAAACGCGTTATGATTTTTACTCCTCGCCTAATATGTATTAACTGAATTTTTACTTATATAAGTAGGTTATAATCCTTCTTATATAGACCTTTTAAATTGATCGTAAGCTTGCTTTGTGTGTACCTGTGATCTTCTGAAATATCTTGACCGACTGTAATAAAACATAAAAAAAAAAAAAGTAAGAAAATGCATTTGCTTTCTATTTATATAATGATTAAACTCCTCTGCTAATATCCGAGCCTATTATCTAAATAATAAAAAGCTTATCCTCAATAACTACCAGGTGGGAAAGAATAAAGATGGATTATATCTAATACTTAAGCAAATAACAATATATTATATAAGAATCTCGAAAAAAATAATAGTCCTTTCATCACCAAGCTCAGTCCAATAACATATTAATTATATAATATTATTAATTATTTATTTTATTCTTCTTAAAACGGCCTAAATAAATCTATAGTAAAACTATAAATAATAAACAATACATTCATTATCAAACACAACAGCAAGCAACGCAACTCTAGGACAGACAACATCTACAACAACCAAAACACAACACTCAACATCTAGAAATTTACATTCCAGCCACATTCTGCATATAAGTGTTATATAGAATGACTATGTACATAATATATTTCTTATAATGATATATATACAAATAAATAATATAATAAAGATAGAAATAACATTGAGTAATAATATTCAAGATAATTGATTAAAAATAATTTTATAGTAATAATGATAGTTATATAAGTAATAAATTATTAATTATATATATTATAATTGTATAAATTGAAAATATAATTCGAGTTCATACATTAATGTCTATAAACATATAATACAATATATGATTTAAATAATAATTATCAATAGTTACATATTATACATATATATAGCTCAAAATAGGATATATAATGTAGCTATTGTAGACGATAGTAATAATAATGTAAATTGTTGTGACAATCCTCAGGCAAACATCTCGAATTTATTTTAATTTTGATTTATTTATTTATTTCTATAAGTTGAATTCATATGTGATGCTCTATAGTGTGAAGCATAGTAGCATGATATTTTGACCAGAACTTTATATTTACATCAAATTTCATAGACGTACTAATAATGATATCTAGTGATGGGTTATTAATCATGCCATAGCTCACTAATACATTCTGTTTTGTCTAGTGACTCCAATTGGTAATTTAGTGAAGTGAGAGAGCTAGACAAGGTAAGCATTAGTAGATATATAATAACCTCATTATAGACTAGGTTCGTGTGTCTTAGCCATCATAAATTTGTCACAATAATTGTGATATTATAAATCCTAATTAATAATATATCTGCATATTATTTTCATTTCGACTCCATTATTAATTTTATTATATAAGATATATGCGTCTCATATAGAGATGTACTAATTAGGCTATTATATCAATTCACCTTTTTACATACCGAATGAATATAATATTCAGACCAACATACTAGATCTCACATTGCTCAGTCACTAGTGTGTTATTGAGACAATAGAACTAGATTATAAGTTAGCCATGTATGGTTTATACTATTTAAATCTATGTATCCAATAAACAAATAAATTCAATTTCAATATTTAGCATTTCGGCTCTCAAGTTTAGCTGTACAGGGGATGCACGCAACCAATGTTATAATGCATTACTAAGTTATGCACTTACCTGTACCGTATATATTTATACCTAGAAAATACAATAACCTTGTCGTAACGTAAGATACCGGCGTGATATTAGATTTTCGTTGAGATACATGATCTTGGAACTAGCTGAATGTGAATAATTATAGACAATATTTTAGCCTGCCTTCGAGCGAGTCATAATGCGGATAATCCTTTTCCTTGATTCAGCATTATGCATATATACCTTAGTGATATTTGTATGGCTGTGTGCTGCTTGCGACAGTTTGCTAGCCAATAGCCAATGTGTTTTTTTCTTTTCTTTTTTCTTTAATTCTGTGTTCATCCCTTCAAGATTATTTCATCGGATTAGTAAGGGTTGGGTTCTGAATGTAGACCATCTGTCTTGGGTCCGATGAAGTTGTTGATTATATTGCCTAAATAACACAAACTAGTCCATTATTCGATCTTAATTCGGATGTATAATAGAGACTCTTTTCACGTTGTGGCCCTCCTCGTGAGTACAACTACCTACTCCGAAACACCCTGCTTGACAACCATCAAATGATCGGACAAGGTGGTTATCTAGTGAGGGACGAAGAGAAGTAGTGTGAGTAGGAGTGGAGAGATGAGGAAGAGAAGGGATGAGAGAAGCAGACGTCTTGCAGATTTTGTATTGTTTATTGTCGGAAGAGACAGAGTTCGGTCCGACCAGGTAGCCATGAGATGCCTATCTGCCTCTCTTTTATACGGGTTTGTTCCGAGTATTGGCAAGGGGTATAGGCAAAGAGACACATTAAGGCGGTTTCGTTAAGGGCTGGATGTTGACATTGGTATGTGGATGGTGTCCTTGTGTAAGCTTGTGTAATTAATTGGTATGTGGATGGTGTCCTTGTGTAAGCTTGTGTAATTAATTGGTACGTGGATGGTGTCCTTGTGTAAGCTTGTGTAAATTAATTGGTATGTGGATGGTTGTCCTTGTGTAAGCTTGTGTAATTAATTGGTATGTGGATGGTGTCCTTGTGTAAGCTTGGTGTAATTAATTGGTATGTGGATGGTGTCCTTGTGAAGCTGTGTAGTTAAAGCTTGTGTAATTAATTGGTATGTGGATGGTGTCCTTGTGTAAGCTTGTGTAATTAATTGGTATGTGGATGGTGTCCTTGTGTAAGCTTGTGTTAATTAATTGGTATGTGGATGGTGTCCTTGTGTAAGCCTTGTGTAATTAATTGGTATGTGGATGGTGTCCTTGTGTAAGCTTGTGTAATTAATTGGTATGTGGATGGTGTCCTTTGTGTAAGCTTGTGTAATTAATTGGTATTGGATGGTGTCCTTGTGTAAGCTTGTGTAAATTAATTGGTATGTGGATGGTGTCCTTGTGTAAGCTTGTGTAATTAATTGGTATGTGGATGGTGTCCTTGTGTAAGTTGTGTAATTTGGTAATGTGGATGGTGTCGCTGGTGTAAGCTTGTGTAATTAATTGGTATGTGGATGGTGCCCTTGTGTAAGCTTGTGTAATAATTGGTATGTGGATAGAGAGTGTTCCTGGTGAGAGAATGGAAGACTCGAGAGATGAGTAGAAGTTAGAGGATTGGTATGAGAGATTGAGGTGTAGGGGAATGGAGAGAGTGAGTGAGGAGTAGCACGTTATTGCTGGATGGTATGGGAACAGCAAATATTAATGCGTGTGTTAATCACGTACTTTGGTGACTAATTTGCGTGGAATGGGATGGCCTTCTCGATGAGTTGAAGGCCATCATCGTTTGAATGCCTAAACTTTACATTTTCGATATCGTGGATTGGTGTCCCTTGTGTTAAAGCTTGGTGTAGACTTATAAAAGTAAAGGACAAGGACAAAGAAAGATAGAATTTATGGGATAGTAGACTTTCTCTGAGTCGATGTTGTGCTACATCTTAAATTAAATTTATAGTGTCCGTGTGAATCTTGCAACGCCATTAATCATTGTAGGGGGAAATTTTTGAGGTCTGAGTTTCTTGTGTACATTATATGTTGTTATCAGAACGGACAGTACTAAAGAATAGAGGGCTCATTTATAATTAACGGCTCACATGCAGCTGTGTAGAGAAACCGCTGTGATGAATGCTACATGTAAATTCAACGGCAGTAAGTATTTCGGTCCTGATAAGAGTAAATATATCTAACTCATAAATCTTCAAACACAATATAGTGTCCGTCCACAATTAATCGTTAACTGATTCCAACATCCCCCTGCAGCCA